TAAGACTATCCTGGGCATACCCAGGTGGTAGGATTCTGAGGGGACATGGACAGGGTCCAGACAATTCAAGTAAAATACGAGCCTGACCGTCTCACTCTTTGATCTGATGCTGGTTGATCATACCCCAATTCTTCTCCTCTGACTCTCATTTTATTCACATAGGCCCAAATGATGCTTCTTCTTGAAAGTAATCCACATTTGTTTGACAAATTTACACTGTGAGGTGTCCAATTTTTAGACACTGTTTGATTTATATTTATCACTAAATCCTTCCATTATCCTTGGGTTTTAGGTATAATTGCTCCCATTTTGAAAGTGAAAAGACTATTGCCCAGGAGGTCTTTGTAAGTGACCTAAGGTTGAGGAGCTAGTAAGAGGCAGTGGCTGAGATTTGTGCTCTGGTCTTCTGACTTCAGACTCAGAACTTGCCCAGAGCACCGTGCCTGCTTCATTCTCCCTGTTGTCTCTGGTTTGGCTCTGCCAGCTGGAGAGCTTTCTGGTCCGAATGCCTGCCTTGTCCAACTCCTTATCTGGGTTTCACAGGACAGTGAGACTGTCTTTGCTCTTCTTGGTCTTTTGATCTGTATCATTTGGAGAATTGGATAAGCAAGTACTAAGAAAGTCTGTTGAGATTCTGATCGGAATTGTGCTGAGTTTATGCATCCATTTGAAGTGTCTTTACAAAACTGAGTCCTCCCTTCTAAGGACATGGTGTATGTATTTCTATTTATTCATTTATTCGTAAACATTTCCCAATAATTTTCTTAATGTCTTTTTTTTTTTAAAGATTTTATTCATTTATTTGACAGAGAGAGACACAGCAAGAGAGGGAACACAAGCAGGGGGAGTGGGGGAGGGAGAAGCAGGGCTCCTGCTGAGCAGGGAGCCTGATGTGGGACTCGATCCCAGGACCCTGGGACCATGACCTGAGCCGAAGGCAGACGCTTAACGACTGAGCCACCCAGGCGCCCTTTCTTAATGTCTTGAATATATAAATTTGGTCATAAGTAACTCACGGTTTCATTGCTATTATAAATGGCTTCTCTAAGAAGTTATTTTCTCTTTTTTTTAAAATCAGTAAGGAATTAATTTTTCTCATATACGCATATTAAAAGGTGAGCAATCCAGGGCTGGTTTGGCCCATGCAGTTATGCTATAGAAGGCACAGGCTCCTTGGGGCTTCCTTTGCACCATCTCCAGCCCATGGATAGTACAAGATGGCTCCTCCAGCTGGAGGTACAGGTTCCTGCTTCCAGGACAGAATGGATGAAATGGGAGAAGGAAGGAGAGAGTGCCTGCTGGATCGACCACAGTGGCTTCTTCATCTGTAGGAATGCTCTCTGCCTCAAAGTCTGATTTTAACAGAGCTGTAGCAACTTATTTGTTATATAACAAAAATATTTGTATTATATATACAATATGTAATTGTTATGTCCTCTTACTGTCAAAATCTTTCCATACCTTGTAAACAGCATATGGATGAATTTTATAAAAATGCAGTCTATCTTTGCATTTTAAGGGGATTATTTAGTCCATTTGTACTTATTGCAAATACTCATATAACTTAGTTTATAGCCTTTCTATCATCTGCTTTCTATTTGTTTTGCCTTTTTTTAAAATTTTTTATTGTTATGTTAATCACCATACATTACATCATTAGTTTTGGATGTGATGTTCCATGATTCATTGTTTGTGCATAACACCCAGGGCTCCACGCAGAACGTGCCCTCTTTAATACCCATCACCGGGCTAACCCATCCCCCCACCCCCCTCCCCTCTAGAACCCTCAGTTTGTTTTTGAGTGTATCGTCTCTCAGGGTTGGTCTCCCCCTCCGATTTCCCCCCCTTCATTCTTCCCCTCCTGCTATCTTCTTCTTCTTCTTTTTTTTCTTAACATATATTGCATTATTTGTTTCAGAGGTACAGAGCCTTTTTTTTTTTTAAGTAGGCTCCATGCCCGGTGTGGAGCCCAATGCAGAGCTTGAACTCACGACCCTGAGATCAAGACCTGAGTTGAGATCAAGAATCGGACACTTAGCCAACTGAGCCACCCAGGCGCCCCTGTTTTGCTTTTTTAAATGTTTCTTTTTATCTTTTCTCTGTTCTTATTTTTTAACTGAATTTTTTCTTTCTCTATTTTTCTCCAAACTGAAATTTAAAGTTTTATGATTTTTTCCCCTATTTTTTGGAATTACTATTGAATTACTAAAACACTTAAATTTAGGTGTTCAGTGGATGAACCCATAAATGAGCTGACAAATGCTAAATATAATCAACATCTTTACTTCTTTTCCAAACAACACAAAGACCTCATACCCCTTTAATCTTCTCATCCCTTGCCAGGAAGGATGTGATGTAATGCTGGCATTGACTGCTTTTAATACATCCTCCCGGTCTGAAATTTTAGTCTGATGTGTTTGAAGGTTCTTTTAATGTATTTTATTTGAGAGCCTCCAGTAAAAACCCTGGGCTCTGAGTCTTCAGCGGGCTTCCTTGAGCAGAAACACTGCATATGTGTTTGTAGGAGAGCTGACCATACTGCTTCGTCCTTGGTCCCCCATCTTGTTCATGTTTGCTGGATAGAAATGCCAGCCAAGGTTGGGATAGGGAGCCCCCCATCTGTTAGAGATAACACAGTCTTTCCCCTTTCTGATGCACAGGAGTGCCACAAGGTCTAAATGAAGGGTCGCTGTCAATTAGGAGCATGCAAGTTGTCTGATGTGCATGCGAATCCTTTGATCTCAGACGGTGCCCTTCTTCATGTGTGGTCGCTCTACAAAATCTGAGGACTGAGGTCTGGACTTTGCAGAGATTAGCTCTGTAGCTGCCGTGGACACCCCCGTCAGTACGTGAGCCTGAATCAAACTGTGTATAAACTTTATGGAGTGGCCTCTTCGTTTTCTGGTCTCAAAGTCCACCTTTGAACAGTGTTACTGTGTGGCCTCAGTGGTGAGAGGACATAGGACACCTGAACCCGGATTCCTCCATAGTCCACCTGATACGCCTTTGTCCCTTGTTGATACTGCTGTGGCTAAAATGTAGCCATGAGTACAACCCTGTGCGGAGTCCTACGGATCCTTCCAGTGGAGCACTGAGTGTGTGCTTTCAAGACTCAGCACTCTGAATTCATGATCCTACTTCTATTGGGGCCTATTCAAGATAGCCATGAACTTAAACATACACGATTTGTGGCGTGTCTCGCAGTCGTGGGTACTTTTTCATGGGACAAATTCAGGGTTTCTACGTCATCATCTTTCTTTCACAAAATGATTTCCAAAGTGACTGCATTTTGGCGTTATGTTATCTATTTCTTACTATTTCCAAACAGCCAAAAAAAAAAAAATCCAATTCTAAGTTTGCCCAGCATTCAGTCTCTTAAATCTGAATTTTAGGGAGAGGGGCTCAGAGTCCCCACCCCCTTCACCCTTGGTGCGCAGGCATTTGGACCTCCAGTCCCAGAACCAGCCTCCAAGAGAGTTTCCTTTCAAGGCCGGCAACTCCAGACCCAGATGGGAGGTTGGGAGATGGAGGAGCATCGTAGGGCTGTGTTGGCTCATCCTCCCCCGCCTTGCCCAAGAGAAATTCCCTGGAATAACTAAGCAAGAAGCTGGGAGAAACAACAGGACAGTTTATTGTCATCACTGCTCATGAGGGGCCGTGAAGCAGGGCGGGAGGGTGCAAGGTGAGCCAGAAATGGGCAAGAGTGGTGTGATGATTGGTGGAGGGGGCCGTGGCCATGGCAGGGGCGGGGGAGGGGGAAGGAAGGATAACTAGAGCTAGTGCAGAGTCCCTTTTCCCCAGCCTTGTCCTTCTCCCAGGAGCCAGAGACAGGGACGCCCACTCCAGAAAGAGTCCAGGCATGGGTACTCAGGAAAAGCAGAGCTAAATTTCACTCACTTCCAGCAGTTTCTTCTGGTCTGTTTCCTAAGGGAGGCAGAGGGGCAGAATAGTGCGGGGAGAGGAGGTACAAATTCTTTCCTCCAGCACAGCTTCGTTCTGGAGCCAACCGGATCCAGCATAGCCTCATAGTGCCTGATGCCAAAAGCCCCAGCGTCCCACCATGGATACAGACTTTCCTGGCTTCCTGGGGTCTTTGTCCTGGGGGCCACTTGGTCAGGGACAGGGGCTCTCTGGGCCGGGCCCCCACTGGGGTAGAAAGATAGGCACGGTGCCCCTTGGGACTCACTGTAAGGGTCCTTTTCCCTCCCCAAGCCATGCCTTCTCCATCTCTGCTCCTCTGGACACCCCTGCCGCCCAAACACAGACACATACTTTAGGGACTCACCTTCTTACATCGGGACCTTCTCCAGCAGTACAGACACGGGGGACCAGAGATGCCAGAAGCAGCAGAACCCAGACACCCAACAGCACGACCTGAAAGCTTATGAACAGGGCCTGGGGACAGAGGACCAAAGCTGTTGGCACCAGAGTGACTATGCCATCTGCTCTGTCTCTCCCTCATTTTCAACACAGGGCCTCTCTCTCCCCCTTCATCCTCACATCTGTAGCTTCTGGAGGGGTTGAGGAAGGAGCCCTGCACGAGGGAGGGGGTGTTGACAAGTCTAGCATGCAGAGAGCAGCCAGAAACCCCTCTCATCAGGCCTCAGTGTCCTCATCTGAACAGTGACAGGCTCGGGCTACTATTCGGTGCCCCGGCAGCCCGAAGGCTGGAGAGGATCCAGGGAGGATGTGCATTTAATCCCTCTGCAGCCCTTTGCACCCTTGCAATGTTTGTTCATTTATGAGTATTTCAATGTTTGTGTTTTCCATGAGTCTGGAGCACTGCCAAGCACAGGGACTGTTTCTAGTCTGTTCAATGCCACAGCCGTGGTGAGGGTAGTCTAGCTGGGTGTGGAACAGGTGACACGAGCTACCATCTTGGCCCTCCCTGCCCAGCGCCTGCTGCACCCCTTCCTCTGCACCCCCCACCCCACCTTCAGCATGCTCAGGTGGGAGAGGCACAGGTGCATCCTTCTGGCTTCTTCCGGACTTGGGGTGCTAGGGGGCACGGTGGCCTGGGACCAGGCCGTCGAGGAGACATGACAGATATAGTCTCTAAAATAAAAGTGGTGCTCATAGAAATTACGAGCCCCAATGACGATGGCGGCAATGGCCGTGGAGAAAGCTGCCAGGGTGAGCAGGGTCCTCAGCAAGGCCTGCTGAGGAGGGAGACCGAAAGAGACCTCGGAGACTCAGCCTCTCCGGGAGCCCAGCCGGGGAGACACTGGTGGGCTCTGGGCAGGAGGCTCGGTTGGGGCGGTCTCCAGCTTCTGGGCCTGGCGTCCCACCCCTGCCCCTTCCCCAAACTCACCCAGTAGATGCCACCCCGTTTCCTGTAAATGAAGGCGACAGCTCCAGCCAAGCACATCCTGGGGACAGATGGAAGCCGGACTGGAGCTAGCCCAGGAGAGGCAAGCCCTCCAGCTGCCTGCTTCTGTTTCCTTTTGCAACCCCCACGGACAGAGCCAACGACTGGCCGGTCCTTCCTTGGAACGCTCCATGTGGACCCGAGGTTTTGAGCTAAGCTTTGTTGTCTGTAGTTAGTTAGGCCTGGGTCAAACTCCTGAGGTGGCAGGACCCTCTGTTTTAGTGACATCGAAGAGCCCTCCTTCCCTTCTCCAAAACCCTCCTTTTAAAGCAATGGTGCTTTATGGAGGTTCCAGATGGGGGCGTGGAAGCCCTAGCTTGTTGGGGAAGCTCTCAGTGCAGGATGGGTCTGTGGGTGGCCTCCGGTCCAGGCGCCTGTCCCGGCAGTGCCCTGTGACCCCGTCACCTGGGCTGACAGAACAGGAAGTCTGGTGCACCCCGGGGGACCGGTGGATCCGAATCCTGTTTGGTGATGCTATAACTAATCGGAGTGTTTTGCCATTGGGTGGACGAGGATGATTACTTTTGGCTCTTCTCTCAGTCAGTGTTCTGTGAGTGTGGGCGTGCCGAAGGGCCTCTTGGTGCTACCACGACCTGCCCCCAAGCCCCTATTGCAGATGGCACACACCCATCTGTGGACATTCACCACTCTCCTTTGGTGGCACCCACCAGATTCCCACTGCGTGGAGGACCCGCAGAGGGCTATGGGAAATGACGAGGTGTTGACCTTATCTTGTAGACTATACCCTCTCTGGTATGTTCTGCTCCCCATCTCAATGCGAGTGTCTGGAAATGAGCTGGGTCCTAGGTCTTTGGTTGACGCTTGCTGCTGAACCTGGGGGGAGGCGGCCAGGCTGGCGGGAAACCATGAAAGCTGGCCACGTGACTTTGGTCAGACCACCACTTCCCTCGGCTATTTTCTCATCTGTAGAAACAGGGAATCAGCCTCGATAACTTCGGGGCTTTTCGACTGCTGACATTTTACAGTATCCTGGGGATGGTGATGGTGATGGTCTATCACCTCTGACAGGAGGCGAATCTGTCCCTTCTTGGCCCGTCAACCCTCCTCCTGCCCGACTCACCACAGCCCCTGTCCAGATGGCGGCTCCTGAGCCACACAAGGTGCAGTCATAGAAGATTTGGAGGAAGCCCCCCAGAACTCCACTCAACACCCCCAGCATGATCTGTACCCACCTGGAGGAAGAAGAAGAACCTAAGAAGCTGGGGCTCCCAGATCCCTGGGCCCAGGAGCAACACTCTGCCCCCATGTCTCAGGCAGCTTTAAGGACCTGCCACTCCAGGTATAAACAACAGGAACCACGTGAAGGAGAAAGAGGGGAGGGGGGAAGGAGGAGGGCAAGCCAGCCCATGCTGGGTCTGGCAGAGGGGAGAGGGCGGCTCAGGGCTCCACTGGCTAGGACCGTAAATGGCCATGGCTCCCCTGCATCCTTTGAGCCCAAAGCCCACCCTCCTTCAGCTTTTATTGAGAAAGCCAGTAAGTCAGTAAAAAAAAGTCAGAAATAGATCACAGGCGATCTGGATTTCTAATAAGGAGATAAAACTGGCTGAGCTTCCAGTTCCAAGAGTTTGGCCATGAGCGTGCACAGCAAAAGGAGGGTCTTCTTTTCCTGACACGGGGAGCCTGGGAGCCCCTCTGGGCCCCTACTCACCCAGGAGGCCACCAGCAGCCGGCGTCTGCCCCAGGTCTGGGAGGTGGCGCCAGGGGCAGGGGACCGAAGCAGGGAGCACCCACATATCAGGAGCGTGGCCAGAGCTGACTCCTGGTGGATGTGCAGGTGGATGTGGGTGGGCTGTGAGGTCCCAGGGTCTGCCTCACGACCGTCTGCTGTCCCCATGCCTGCGGACATCTGTCTGGGAGAGAGGAAGGGAGGGTGAGCGAGGAAAAGTTGGAGGATGTGTTCAAAGATCCCATTGGCCGTTGGGACTGGTGGAGGTCTCTGGTCACAGAGCAACGTCCTTGGCCCTTTCTCCAGGGTGTCATGTCAGGACAGCCTGACTGCTGGTACAGTGGCGACCGCTGAGCCCGCTGGAACCTCCCCCTTCACCCCAGATCAGCTGTCCCCTCATCCTCCCACGGTGTCAGGGTCTGGACCAAGCAGTGCCCCGCAGTCCTCACCTCCCCATCCTCTTCTGCCAGCCTGCCGTCACAACCCCCACCCTGAGCCCTCAGGCTATGGGGCAGAACCCCAGGCCCCACTGCCTGTTGAGCTCCCGTTGCTATAGCTACTCCGCAGGCGGGCCTGGGGACACCCCTCAGCTCCTAAGTACCTCCCTCTCCACCAGTAGTCACTCTGCTCCACCTGGCCTGTTGAAGCTCCCCCCACCAACAATGAAGGAACCAGTTGCAGGTGAAGGTAGAGGTCAAGGCCAGCCTGACTTGGCATCAAACAGGGACACCTGGTCTCTGCTTCTGCCACCTTCCTGGAGTCCATGGTCCACTGGTGGTTGGTTCCTCCCTCCCTCCATCCCCAGCAAGCTCTGGGCCAGGCTTTGGAGGCCTGTGAGGGGGTAAGTGGGGAGTCCAGTGGGGAAGTGTCCTGGGAAAGGGCTGCCTGGCGGTGGGCCCCGCCTCACCTGCTCCCCTTAGGGCCCCCGGGGCTGAGTGTCCCACAGGGATGGCCAGCTGGGCTGGGCTGAGCTGGAGCTGGGAACCAGGCGGACAGAGGAGGAAGTTGGTGGAGCACCAGAAGGGCAGGGTGGAGGAGGGGCTTGCTGAATTTTAGCAGCAACCTCCCTGGAAGATAGCCAGGCAGAGGGGCCCCTGTGTGGGGGGTTTCCAGCTGCCAGCCCATCCCTGGGCTCTGGCCTGGAGTGTGGGCATGAGGTGGGTGGCCTGGGAGCCCGTAAAGCTGATAAGCCCTGGGAAACCCCGGGAAGCTGTCCAGTCCCCCATGACCACTTTTGCAGGTGCTTTCTCAACACAGGTCTGCAGGTGCTGTGAGTGTGGGCCCTGTCTGTGTTGTGAGAGTCCGTATGAGTGTGTGTGTGTGTGTGTGCACTCATATGTGTGCACTCTGCCTTTCTCACCAGCCTGGTTATCTACTTAAGATGGAATCCCCCTAGAGGGGCCCCTTTGCCCTAGCTGTTTTCTGGGAAGTTGCAAAGCTGAAGGTCAGACCCTCTTCCCTCCACCTCTTCCTTCTGCTCTTCTCTTTCCCATCTACTGGTCCTCAGCTGCCTGTGGATCCTCCCAGCCCTGCTCTGCTGAGGCTCCCAGAGGACAGCAGGTGAGCAGGGTCCCTACAGACCAGGTGGCCCCTTCCCAGGAGACTCTCACCACAGGACCTTCCTCTCTTGAGGAGTCTTCAAGGCTGGACCCCAAAGCCCCCATCCTATCTCACGGGATGCTGCTCCCAGTTCCCATAGGACTTGCTAGGGTGCGGAGGGATGCCCTAAACAGGGTGTGACCTGGGGAGGGGCAGGAGAATGTGTCTGGCTCCAGCAACCTCACCAGGCCTCAGCCCTCCTTTATTCCTGGTGGGGTGGCTAAAGCTCAGGTGGTCTGGTGGTGAGAGGTCGTTCAGAGTGAAGCTGGAAGGTAGAGGGCCCAGGATGTAGCATGGGTCCTGGTCCTCTCTCCCCAGCTCCAGGAACACTGAAAGGAGCGAGACAGAGAGAGTGACCAGGGCAGCAGGGATGTGCCTCACACCCTGGAGTCTGGGGGGCGTGGGAAGAGAGTCCTCATGGGACCAGCCTGGTCCAGAAGAAGAGCAGGGGGCTCAGCTGAGCTAGGGTTGGAGTGTGGTGGGGGAAGTGGTGGTACCCACGGGCTCAGTGGGAGCTGGAGCCAAGGGCACATTCAGGGCTGCCCCATGATGCTGGCTCCTGGGACCCAAGGGAGAGATCTGGCTGGAATCTGGGCCAGACTTCCTTGTATGTGTCTGTGAACAAGTCTGAACCTACTTGTGCATCTGTAAAATTGTCCAACACCTGTCCTTTATACCTCTAAGGAGACCAGGTAGGCACAGGAATGACACTGCTCTGTAAAGGACATGGAGTACAAGGGAAGACTTTAGGGTTGCCATCTTGCTGATGTTAGAATCGTTATTAATACCGTTGTGATTTCCATCAGTGATGCCAAAGTAGGATGCCTATTAGAATTACTTTTGGAGCTTTGCAAGTTGATTCCAAAGTGCATATGGAGACGTAACCTAGCAAAAAAGGCCATGAAAGAAAAAATAACATGAGGAGGGTCACAAAATAACTCAATTAAATATTAAACTCCATACCCATCATTAAAATAGTGGCAATGGTACCTGACTCATCAGACTCACCAATGAACAGAATATAAAGACTAGAATAGATTCGAATTCCTAGGAGAATTTCATTTTTGCTTGGGAGAACATTTTAAATCAGTAGGAGAAAGGTAATATATTCCTCAAACAGAACATACCCTTCGGAAGTTAACCATCTGGGGAAAGAAACCCCACAACAACTTGGATCTGTACCTTCCAACTTACAAGATAAATCCCAGATGGATCAACATTTAAATGTGAAAACTGAAAGCATAACACTACTTAGAAGAAAATAGGGAAGAATTATTTTATAATCTTGATGTGGTAAAGTCCTTTTTAAGTATGATATATAATCCAGAAATCAAATAAAGATGGAAACTGGTTAATCAAAAAATAAATCATAAATTGCAAAGAAATATTTGGAAATCATGTCACAGATGATAAGTTTTCGAATACCCAAGATCCTATACAAAACAGTAAAACAAGAAGGACCTGGGTATGGACAGAGAGCTCACAAAAGAAGGAGAAAAGGTGTCTTAAACATATGAAAAGATGACCAATATCACTCATACTAAGAGAACTATGTACTGAAACTATACTGGAATAGTCACAGAAAGCAGATCAGTGGTCGCCTTGGGCCAGGGTCGAGGGGTTTATTGGGGAGAGAACATTAAGGAATTTTTGCAACATAGAAATGTTCTCTATCCCGATTGTACCTGGGGTTGTTCAAATGTACGAATTCGTCAAACCTCGCTGAGATATCCACCAAAAAGGAGGCATTTTGCTGCATAAAACTGATTAAAATCTATAAAGGGATGTAATTTAACTGATATATATTTGAAAAAGATTAAAAAGTTTGCTGACACCTCCTGCTGGCCATTGAGAGGGTCAGTGGACATTCCTTGACCTTGCTTCTGTTTGTGAATGGCATGGGGTAGCCCCACACAGGGCAATATTTATTGAAATGACACACGCATATTCCCATTGACCTGCCAATTCCCCATTGTTTGCAAGAGGAAATTGATGTCTATCAGTAGGAGCTGACTGAGGGGCGCCTGGGTGGCTCAGTTGGTTAAGCGTCTGCCTTCGGCTCAGGTCATAGTCCCAGGGTCCTGGGATGGAGCCCCGCATTTGGCTCCCTGCTCCTTGGTGAGCCTGTTTCTCCCTCTCTCTCTGTCACTCCCCCTGCTTATGCTTTCTCACTCTCTCTTCTCTCTCTCTTAAATAAATAAATAAAATCTTAAAAGAAATAGGAGCCTGCTGAAAACAATCATGATGCATTCAGACAAAGGAACACTGTGCAGCCAAATGAGTGAGAAAGCATTTTATGGACTGATGTACGATTATCTTCAAAACACAGTTCGGTGAACAAATCATTGTGCAGTTAGTTTATGTAGTATCCTGCCATTTGTGGGAAAAGGGGGAGGAGAATATATTTTATATGCTTTTCTATGCAAAAATGTCATTGTGGGATATATAAAAAATGATAACATTAGTTTCCAACTAGAAGGCAACTAGGTGGCTGGGAAAGAAAGATGGGAGGGAGGGTTTTATAGGTATATCCTTTTGTATCTTTTGAATTTTTTAACCATATGGAAGTATAATGTATAAATATATATAGTAAGTCCCTGAACTAATTCAGATTCCTTTCCTTGCTCAACCCAAGACCCAGACAAACTGTGTCAGACCATTCTGGGGAGAGGCCCAAGAATATATGTGGTGAAGAACTCTAGAGGTGATTGGATTTGCATCCCAGATTAAGGCCACTGTGACACAGCTACCTGCTCTGGGAAGATCCTTTGGATCTTGACAAGGGACTCTTTTCTCTCCCTTCACTCATGCAACATATTCCTTTTTATCTTCGCTGGTTCCCAGACCTCACTTTTCTACGTCTTCTTCCCAGCAGGCAGGATGACCCAAAACATGGTGACCGTGAATGGAATCGATGTGGTCTCTACACTGTCCCAGCCCAGCCACATCAATATCCACATCCACCAGGAATCAGCTTTGGCACAATTGTTAAAAGCTGGGGCTTCCCTGAAGGAGCTCTTTTCTCGCCGTCGGGACACCGGCCCTTCCGAGGCCAGGATGAGCTATGGGCAGCTGGTATTGGGGGTAAGAGGAGCAGGTGGTGCAGAGGATGGTAACTCTCCTTCAATGGGATGAAAAAAAAGTGGGTTGACTCTTTATGAGAACTTATTATTTGTATCCCATCTTTTTTGGGAAAAGAAAGTTTTGGCAGGTTCCCCTACACATTTAGATGGAAAAGAATGATGGGTCTCTTCTTTGGTACAGTGGGGGTTGTCCCAGCGGAGGTGGGGGACAGGTGGCTGTTAGCTGAGTTTCACGGAACCCATGTGGACTGAGGGCCTGCAGATGCGAGGCACTATTATAGGCATTTTGGAGAAAACTATAGAGAGAGTCCCTAGTCTATAACCTAAAAGGGCTCAACATTACACCACTACATGCATGCCTAGAATGAAAGGTAGAGCAGGTGACATCCTTGGGGATCGGCCTGCAGCAGTTGGCATCTGAGCCAGACCTCGCATGGAGGAAGAGTATGTGTAGACAGATAGAGGTGAAAGATGGACGGAAAGGAA